GCCAAATGCCCGAACCCGAATGGCCGAACGTACGGGACCCCTTGGGGATGCGTTCGGCCGTTCAGGCCGAACGCAGACCAAAAAAAAGAAGAAAAGAAAAAAACCTCAAAAACATCTGGAAAAAAAGATATGTTATGAAGACAAATAAAATAAACAACATTTGCCTGAGCATTACATTCAAATTGCTTACCAAATTTGAAATAAAAATTAAAAACAGAAAATAAAAATAATAATAGAAATAAGAAAAAAAGAAAAGAGAATTGAAATTAGTGAGTGAGCGAGAACGTTTTCGATACTGCCATCTTTGGCGATTTTTTTTCTTTTTTTTGGCACAGCCAAATGCCCTGAAAATTTACAGATAATACAAAACTCACTAAAAACAATTCAAAATATAATAAAATTGTTTAGGCCCCGGAATAAAGTGAAAAAAAAAAGTAAAAAGTGAAAAAAAAAAAAAAAGGCACGTTTTGACACCACCGTCTTTGGAGATTTTTAATTTTTATTTGGCTCAGCAAAATGACTTCAAAATTTATAGGCATGTACCTCACAGCATAGAGAACTAAAAAAAAAAAAATCAGAAACAAAAATGTATTTTTAGGCCCCGAAATAATTTTTGGCGGGGGCCAAACGCCTTCGGGTTCGGACTTCGAACCGGACCCCGAGCGCCCATACGTATGGAGGCCGGCTCGGGGACCTCCGTACGTACGGGATGGTGACCCTGTATATATATGTATTTCACATCTGCCACATTTCATCTGAATATCAGAACATAGAAAAAAGTAAAAATCTAGATAACCACCACCGCATTTATCTTTTACTAATTTTTAAAGGTTTTATTTTTTCTTTCGAGCGTCCATTTGAATGATCGTGGTCATTTGTGATCAATATATGATGCCAAGGTCTTGAGGCAAAGTTGTTTCAAACCAATGCAAAACTTAAGTTGACCGTATTTGTTTTTTACTAATTTTTAAAGTTTTTTTTTTTTTTTTTGGCGTCCATTTTAATGATCATCGTCATGTGTGATTAACGTATGATGTCAAGGTCATGAGGCAAAGTTGTTTCATACCAATGCAAAACGTAAGCTGACCTTGAATTGATTAACTAACACCTAATCCAATGCATTAGTAGATGCAAAGTCGATGGATCTTCACTTTTATTGCAATCCATGACACGCACTGAACCAAAGATATTACCCAATGAATTGACTAATTGTTTACTGATTCCTTCATTGATTGACTGACTCAGTGACTCGCTGTGTCTAACCAACCCACTACATGACTAACTGCCCACTGAGTGATTGACCGACTGACTTACCGTCAAACTGATTGACTGACAGCGTGACTGGCTAAGTAACAGAGTGACAAAGTGTCTGAGGCAGTGACTCGGGGATGGACGGACTGTTAAACTGATGACTGATTCAGTGCTTGCCTGACTGACTCGGTGAGGATTGCCGAACTAACAAACGGACTGACTGTCTAACAGCCTGACTGACAGCCTGACTGACAGCCTGACTGACTGACTAAACATCTACCTGCCTGCCTGCCTGACCGGCCAGGGGACTAAAGGGGTTTAAATGAGGGTGCCTTAGTCTAATTTTACAGGAGGATGAAAGAGAAGAGGATGATAGTCTAATTTTACACGAGGATGAAAGAGAAGAGGATGATGAATCTCTCTCTCTCTCTCTCTCTCCCTCTCTCTCTCTCTCTCTCTCTCTCTCTCTCTTTTCTTTTTTTTAGTTTTTTGCTTACCATTGAATCCGAGGTTGAAGGAACTTTTCGTTGGTTTGGAAACTGGAATCGTGGAATTTACAGGACTATAATAGACCAGAAGTCAAAAGGGAAGAGAGAGAGTAAGCGAGAAGTGGAAGCCTTGGTACCAGCTGGACGCGGTTAGCACTACAGTGCCAAGACTCTTTCTCTCTCTCTCTCTTTCTCTCTCTCTCTCTCTCTCTCTCTCTCTCTCTCTCTCTCTCTCTCTCTCTCTCTCTCTCCATGCTGTCAGTTGGTGTCCTAACCACAGGGGTCGGTTGTGGTGCCAGATGGGGAAAGGGAAAAAAAAATCCCAACGGATTTTTTTCTGCCTGAATTGCTGCTTGAAACTCAAGCCGTGATATTTTTGTGGGCGCGTGTTTCTTTTATCTTTGCGAACTGAAAACCTGCTGCGTCCGCCATTGTTTCTTCTTCTTATGACGAGTTGCTGAAACTGCTATCTAGTCATGAAGAAGGTCATCAATTGCGAGGTAGTGTGGGTTTCGGCTGGCTCTACTTCAGTGGTGAAGCAGGGTAAGCTTGGTCTGCAGAAAAATGGTGCAGTTGGTGAAGTGCGACTGCATACTGGTGCGGTTGTGTATCGATTCAAGTACGAGAAGAGGCCCAACTCGGATTGGAACACGAACTACCCCTTCCTAAGAAAAGGTTAGCAATCTTCAAAAAGTTCGACAGGCTTGGATGGGATGCCGATTTGTGGGACTGGAGCAGGAAACAAGTTGCCGACTCTGGACTGTTTAAGGAATGTCCGTTGCACATGGGTTGCGGTGACGACCGGACGATTGAGGCGACGGAAAAACTCGCCGGCCACAAGAAGTTGTCCCTCAACTAGAAGAACAAAGTCCTTCCCATGTTGACGAGCAGTAGATTGAAGAGTAGGGATATCGCACTTGCCGAAGACGTTGTGCATACTCTCTCGAAAGACACGGGGGGCGTGACATCCATCGCACCGTTTGGCAACGACCCTTTGGAGGCACAGGTGAGGAGTGAAGATTTGCAGAAGGTGGTGGGAAGCACAAAGAGTCACATGTTCGTCCTCGATCTCTGCGATACGGTTGACCTGAAGTTGTGGAAACCTCAAGCGTTCGAGACTTTGAATTCCCTTCTTCAGTCATTGTGCCCATTGCACAAAACAGTCGTTGTTTTCGTGTCGAGGCAGTGAAACCTCTCGTTTATGGTCAGCCTGCGCCATCTTTCTGTCATCAAGCCACTTGAAGGGAAGTGGGTGAGGCAGACGCTGCAGAAGAAAAGTTTTCCCGTCGGGAAATAACCTGTACGCGGTGGACGACCCCATGTACGTCCTCATCAAGGGTGAGGATTTGCAGGAAAACACGTCTATCGTTCACAACAGGAGGCTACCGGCAGGTGCCGCTGCGGTTGTGCGGTTGCCTCAAAAAGTGACCCCGATGGATATATTGAAGATTCTCTTCACGCCTTGCGGCTGGTCGTGGACCGCGCCGGAACGACAAGGTAGTGTCTACAAGGACATGGAGTGCAACCCGACCCAATTGGCCGGTCTTCTAGAATTTGTGAGCAATAAGGGGAAGGGTGTCATCTTCCTTAGGAAGCCGCATGCGCAAGTCATATGGGAGTTTCTTAAAGTCGGTCACCACGTTGTTGCGTTGGAAGGGAACTCCGAGCTGTTGCAATTCATGTTGGAGTTCGTCAAAAGCGAGGTAAAATCCGGGGTCAACAGCCGCGAGTGCATGGTTAAGAAGGACAAACAGAAACGCCCCCGGGACACTACGATGAACATGTGGTTCAAGTTGAGTGAGAGAAAGAGAAATAAGATCTACAAGTTCCTGTTCTTGGAAACGCGGCCAAAGAAGTACAATGATGCAAAGTATGTGCATCACAAGGACCACATGTTAGGTCTGTTGGCGTTGTTGGACAACTACCATGGCGCCTGCCGCAAGAACGCGAAGACCAGGGTCTTTTCACGCTTTTTCTATTCAACCTCCTTCTCACTGATATGGGATACATTCAACCTTTAGCCCCCAAGATTGCTATTCTGTGTCACTATCTTCGAGGGTAAAATGTCATCAAACGAGATATTGTTAACCCTAGCGTTCTTCCTTTTATCATTGTTGGCTTTGTTTTTTTTTAAGACTGTTGCTTTTATCCCTCCTTTAACTTGAAATTTTTATTTTATTCCAATTGGCATTACAGATATGCCCATTAGCATTTTTCTTGACTATCCGTTCCTCAAGTTTCTTTTCTTGTATTGAGCACCGAGGTAGAATATGACCCTCCTCATTACAGTAGAAGCATCGACGGGGGTAATCTCTCCTTGTTAGCTTTGAGACCTGTTTTTTTTTTCAGTCCCGGTCTCGCTTCTTATGTTATTTGTTTCTTCCTGGGTAGCACGGCGTACACGTACGCGGGCTCCGCATACGTGCATACGCGTATGCACGTATGCGCATACGTGTCACATAGGTATGCGCGCGTACCCAAATTTTGGGCCCGCATACATGGTCACAGCGGACCGTTTTTCGGGGTTGTCTTGGCCCGGGTTGGGGAACTTGGGGGGTGGGTGTTGGGATTGGTTGGGGCCAGATTGCAGTCGGAACAAGATCGCGCGCGCGCGCGCGTGAGAGAGAGAGAGAGAGAGACTTCTTCCTCCTCCTCCTTTGTTTATTTGTGCATGTGTGTGTGACTTATCATGGCTGCTGTACACAACACCAGGAAGGTCTGCCTGTCCGTTTGTCCATCATTCTGTTAGCAGGTTTGTCTGTATTCCACGCAGTTGAAGTGTCTGTGTGACTTGTCAGACCCACGTGTACATCAGATGTGTGGCGATGCTACAAAGCTCAGGGGCACACCCGCCGTGCAGAACCCACCAATCAGCAATGGCTTGAGTCTCGTCCACCCCCTGGCACATGTCCTCGTCCCCGGTGCTCGCATCTCCACCCGAATAATATCTCGGACCACGGGAGTGGTAGTTGTACGGCTGTTGACGGACCAATCGGTACCTCTCTCCCCGTCGGTCGAAGCCCGTCTGCGTGTAGATGTACTCCAGTGTCATCTCTGCCACCTTCTTCTGTTGAGCGTTGCGATCACATGACTGGAAGTAAACAAAGCTCCGCTTATTCGGATTTAGAAGATGGGCGGCGGCATGGGCGGGCTCCAAGAGATGGCATGATCGGCCATAACAATCCTGCAACATCCCAACCAGGCGCGGTCTCGCCAACTCCAACTTCCGAATCTCCTTAGGGCCTCAGCCAACTGCATCACCCACTGGAAGACGCACGAGATCACCAACCCCCCCTGGTCCAACTGCCGCAACAACTGCACAACTGGGGTGAAGACGTCGATGAGATCATCCATCTCCTCCCAAAACAACCCATATCGCACCTGCGTGCGCACCCAACCAACCTGTACAAGGAGCCTCCTCTCCCATGGAAGTCGTGCTCAGTCCCCCTCCAAGATCACTGTCTCTAGTGGAACATTGTGGTCGCGCAAGCACCCCATCATGATATACATAGATGCGAATTGCGTTTGGCAAGGGTACAACAACTTCCGGCCCCGTCGTCCTCTGCCGCGTGCCCCCTCTCCGCTGGCGGAGCTGCCACCCACACGCACGGCCCGTGCATTGTGATCGGCCCTGGCACTGTAAATCCTGAACAAGGTGAGAGTCGAGCCGTGCGACCTGATGAAGCGCACAACCGCCCTCGCCCTCGTCAGCAACTCGATGGCCCATGTCGGACAACATCAAGTTGCAGCAATGGACAAAACAAGGGAGCCAAGGGATCCGACGGATATCTGGATCGGGGTCGTTGCGAAGTACGCGACCGGCGGCGACATAAACTGATGCGGAGTCCGTGCAGATGACGTTGATCTTCTTCACGCCGAAGTCCTCGAACACCTTCCACCGCCGCAACACCACATATGCCGTCTCTGCGTCAACCCCTTCCCTTCGAACCGTCGTGTAAAGGATGGCGTCCGACTGTCCAGCTGCCAGGAAGTTCACGATGGGCTCAGAGTTGAGGGACTTCCTCCCATTCGTGAGAATGGTAGCCCCCGTGTGCTCCATCTGACCGCGTATGTCACGTAGCTTATCAGCTATGTGCAAACGCTGCTCCTGTATGCCAGTGCCTGCTATGCGCATGAACTGGGGCAAAGCAGGCTTCATGCCCCTCAGCATGTTCTGCATATGTTGTGAGAGGGCCCTGTACTCTGCCATCCTCGCCCTCTCAAATGGGATGCCGCCGATATACCACCACTGCAGGAACAGATGGTCGAAGGTAGTCTGCCATTATGAATCCCCCGCGGCCGCAGTCATGACTGCGGCGACTGCGGTCTGCCGCGGCCCACATCGGCTGAGGGGAGAGGGGGTTGGGGGTCGGGGTTGCGGATTGGGGTTCCAGAACCCTTACCCTACCCCCCAGAAACAAAAAGTAAAAAAAAATCATTTTCGGGGGGGGCGTTTTTGGTGTGTGGAAAAACAAATTGAAAAAAATAGGAAAAAAAAAAAATTGATTGATTGATTGATTGATTGATTGATTGATTGTTGATTGATTGATTGATTGGCTGATTGATTAATTGATTTATTGATTGATTGATTGATTGATTGATTGATTGGTTGGTTGATTGATTGATTGATTGATTATTGATTTATTGATTGATTGATTGATCGGTGGGGGAGGTGCTCCCAACCCTCCCCCCGGCACGCACACACACACACACACACACACACACACACACACACACACACACACACACACACACACACACACACACATACCTGCTTCCCCTAAAAAAACTTTTTTCCCCAATCCCTTAACAAACTAACCAAATTTATAATAATTTTTTACATATATATACATACACATAGTTATGTTCAAGCCAAACTTGCACCAACATAAACAGACACATGCAGTTAAAGTTACGTATACTGCTAGTGCTCAGACACTTACATATATACACACCTACACACCACCGCTCATAAATATACATTTTCTTCCCCCCAAAAAAAGTGCAAGGCTTCCCATCGGCACATAGTCGGCCCCCACACACACCCCATAAGCACAAATTACAACCCCCCCCACATTTCACTATTTTTACAAAAAACAAAACTGAAACGACGCAAAACAACACAATGCCACCACACCGCACACAGGATTTAGCCACCATGACCAAAACAAAAAGCACTACCGACACCCCCGCACATAAGCCAAAAATGAACAAAAAACCTGCCGCCAACAATCCGCACACTACATAGGCAGGCCATCAAAAAGACAAAATGAAACGCACACGCAACATAACCACAACCCTTCGAACCGAACTTACAATACCACCATATCAGCACTCGAAGCCAAAACACTTTACTGGCCCACCGCCACAAAAACTTGCCAATCCACCACTGTGCACTACCAAACAAGCAGTCTACCTGTATACCCGGATGCTGATGCACACAGCATACACCACTGCGCACTACCAAACGGGCAGCACAACCACTCACCCAAACGCTACCACGCACATCGACATACCGGCACCCCACATACGCTATTCCGCTCCACTCCCGGCCATGGCTCCCTGCCTCAATACCCAATTGCTCCCCAGAAAACCCCATATACAATCATTCCCACGCCTGGGTCGACTATTGCTATCCCCCCGTACCCCCACTCCTAACCACATACCCCCCGTGGACCCATGGGGATCCATAGAGCCGATGACTTCCCAGCTTGATCCCACGCATGCGGTTATGCAGACACTACGACCCTCACCTCACCATACCCAACCATATATCACACCTACCTTCCCAAATCCACCCTCTTACTACTCCCCACAATCTCTTCTCTCTCTGAAGCGGTGCATTCGCGTGGTACACTATCCACCCTAGCTCACTGACTGGTGATTGGCAGTTGCGCTGCACACATAGACGCCATAGCTGGTGCTCCCTGCACCATCTTCGGCGAACAGCGTGTCTTGTAATTGGCAGCAAAGAATACACCCTGCGGTGATTCGTTCCTGCGGTGATTCGCCCCTGCGAATACGAGCGGCAACTTCAAGGTCCGGTACGATGGCGCAGATCAGGGATAATCTCCCCGATGCAGACATCATGCAACACATGGTAAGTTTTGCTGATGCTAAACTCCACCTCGTTCCCCCATGGCCTCTTCCCTCACCATCTCCTTGGGAGCCAGAGGATATCCACCCTCTGACGAGTCGTGACCGGCGCAAGCGGCGAAAAGCGCTTTAGGGGATGCGTCCCCCTCCTCCACCAGTGATACTACGGGTGTTGATGGCATTGACCATCTTGCTCCCTTCCTTCCCTCTCTTCATCTCTTTCTCTTTCTCTCCTCATTGTGCAATAAAGCGTGTTTTTTTTTTGCCGCAGATGCACACAAGGATTGGTGGTTTCGGCCCTAACGACAAGGTATGTGCTCCTACCGCTCACAGTTCCAATGGTATGTCTATGGCTGATGGAGATTCCCATAACCGGGTTGCTATGGTTGCAATTCGCACTTCGACACACACACACACACACACACACACACACACACACACACACACACACACACANCTCTCTCTCTCTCTCTCTCTCTCTCTCTCTCTCTCTCTCTCTCTCTCTCTCTCTCTCTCTCTCTCTCTCTCTCTCTCTCTCTCTCTCTCTAACGCGCGTGAGTGGCCGTGAACAAAGTCGATGCGCGTTCACGGTCCCGCGACTCCCGCTCACGTTCGTGAACGTGCGTTCACAGCGATGAACGGGCGTTCACTCTCTCTCTCTCTCGCGCGCGCGCGCGCACGGATCCATATGGATAGCGCATCATAGCGGCATGGGCCGGCTGCTGTTGCTTTAATGGCACACAGGAATGCAGCTTTTGCCCGCAGCCAACGGCCGAAGTAGAAAACAACTCTTTTTATTTTTTTTCCTGTTACTTTGTTTTTGGCCGATTCTGTGGCGACAAAGTTATTGCGGGATTCTTTTTTTTTTTTTTACCTGGAAAAAAACAACCCGTCCTGCCAAGCCAAACACAGGTGAAAATCTTTTTTTTTTTATAATTAAAACAATTGAAATGGTTTCAGGAGAAAAAAAAAATACAGGCACCTGCCCATGGACACCATCTACACACCTGCGCAAAAAAAAAGGGGCCCCCCAAGCCAAAAAAAAAAAAAAAAAACCCTTACCGCTCACTGTGAACTCCGTGAACGAGTAGCGTTCATGATTTTCGTGACCGCTGACCGGCCATCGTTCACGGACCCCGTGAACAGTGACCGGGGGTACGGCACTGGTCCTTACACCTTCCTACCTACCTGGCGGGTCCTACTGGGTCCGTGTGGGATCTACATATGCCACAAGGGGGGAGGGAGATAAGACTTAGAGGGTGGAAGAGAGAGTATCTATCATCACTGTAGACAGAGCTCCCTCGCAAGCCCATTTCCTCTTCTGGCACCTCCTCACTTGCCACATCAGCAAACAGTCTCCCCTGACAAGATCTGACAGTAAGCAGATTCCAGCACAGCGCCCATCCCCCAGCCACGTCAGCAATCAGCCTGGGAGGATGGTGCAGACTTCTCTCTGAAGACGTACAGCAAATCACAATCAGGTAGCTTCCCTCTTTCAATCAACCATTCAGGCAGCCCTGATCCTCCTCCTCCTCGCCCGTACTCCATCAATGTGGTCATCAGTGTGGCAAGAGCCACATCAGCATAAACAAGTGCACAGCTGGCGCTGTAGTCAGAGAATGGCGCCAGCATAAAGCTCTCTCAGTCCTGTGTCGTCGCACCAGCGTCCAGCCAGCGTGGTGCCAGCCTCAAGCAGCAAGTGCAAAACTGAATGTCGTCCAGCAGGGCTTGGTCAACTTATAGAGTTGACTCGTGTTGACCAGCCTCTGGTCTCTCCGATATGATGGTCCAGATCGTCTGTTAGCCAATGGCCTGGATCTCGTACATTTGCAGATTTCCACGTGGTCTTGATTCCTTCCGGATGCCTGCAAACAACCAAAGGTGTCTGTCTGATCTACGGCAGAGGCTAGATTCATGTTGATTTTGACTCGTGGACCTGAATTCACGAGCTGACTGTTGACTTTCCCAAGGTCAACTGTATCACGTTGGGCCTTTGAAGGCCAATTCTGGCCTAAGTGGCCTTGCCTTCGGTACCTCATAGTAGTAGGCTTTCGGGCAGACATTTTCATGACTTGGGCGTGACTTTGACCCCGGTTTCGAAGGGACAACCCACAGCCCACGGCTGGTGCATGTTGAGCTGAGTTATTGCACTGGATTCAATCATGTACTATTCTCCATTTTCGAGTACAAGTGTTCAAATATATTTTTTCTTTTTTTTTTGGTCTATTTCTCGATTTATGCTTTTCATCCTTGCGCAGCCACCATGCTTATTAATGTTCTCTGTATCGTTCCAAATGTCCCGAAGGACATATGTTCAAATAGTACATACTACCACCATACGCGCCTCTGTTGAGAGGGTACTCACACCAGGAGTTTTCTGGATGTATCTGACCGCAATTACGGCCAGACGAGAATGCATATGACGGCCGTAGTGGCACCACTCGCTATCCATCAAAATTTTGGATGAATCTGAACAGGAATTTTGTCGTGGTCCATTCAAAATGTTGCGGGGTGCCGAGTAGTGCAAAAAAACGTGTTCGATAGCAAGAGGGGTGTTTTAGGCAATAGCAGGGATTTGGCCTCACCCTTGGAATGGCCATGGCGGCTATGGATATGGTGGACACCGGGGGCAATGTGCTGCGCAGTTGTACAGCAACCACTCAGTCACACCTCGTCTCAAACCCTATCGAGCAGGGAGGAGGAGCGAGGGAGTCTGGTACGGTGCCCAAAGGTCGCTAGCGATGGCATCAGCAGGATCAGCAGACACCAAGGTGCGCGTCTAGAGGCACTGGCCGTAAAAGTTTGCAACAATGCCACGTGTCACTTTGCCATTGCACGGGACGGAGCAAGAGGGGAGGAAGTCGACGGGGTGGCTCAAGGTGGGAATAGAGATAGGGCAGAACGAGAGGAGATGGAAATGGGGTTCATCCAGTTGATGGCCTCTGGAGATGGATCGAGGCACACGTGGCTGTCTGGGAGGGCGACACGTGGTGAAAGCCCGGCCGCCTGTTGTCCTCTTTCCAGTTGGCCAACTCCCCTTCCCACACCCATCTTCAGCCCCCTACCCTGCCACTTCCACTGCCACTGGCGGGAAGATTTCGCGCCGCGTTTCCAAATGGCCCGCGCCGTCCACCGCTAACGGAAACCCGTGGTGCGTCCTCCACAGGGCCTGGTCAGTCCTCTTGGACTGCCACTCTGTAGGACCGGTTAGGCTACCCTGGGGCGCCCTGGGACAGGCGTTTTGATTTTTCTACCTCATTCCACCTTATGGCCCTCGGTTCCTCCCACATGATGTTTTTCTTGCCTTTTGAAACTGCGGCCATTTGAAACCTGAGATATGCTGTTTTTTCAGCTTATTTCGAAGTTAGAGTGTGACGCAGACGTAGTTTTCCCAAAAAAGAAACATCGAGACAAACTGTCCATGCGGGGGAATTGTCATACATAAAACACACACACACAGACACATATATATTGTCACATATCTATCAACTAGGAGAGTGCAAGCACTTTGCGAAACAAACAATAAAAATTACAGAAGACGAACATGAAGAGCTAGATAATTTGTTCTTTGAGCTCCCCCTCCACTGTGCCTTTTCCATACAAGGATCGTCATTTGGGCACTTCGACGTGAATGCACAGTCAAATGTGTGCCGTGGTGAAGACTATACAATGTACGAAACCATTCACAGATATTGTCAACAGCCTCTGCAGGCAACATCTTCCTGAACTCTGATTTCCAATCAGGTTATGTGGTATATAGATCCGCACAAGCGGGCCAAAGCCCTCCTCCGTGCAAGCACGGACTCGAACCGGCGACCTTGGCCAAGTCTCTTAACCACTACAGCCAGGACACGGTGTTCAAAAGTGGAACCTTACCGGTCGTGTATCCACCCCACCCCTGCAAGGCTGTAGTGTCCAACGCAACCCACACCACACACAACACCACACGGACACATCCCACAGATGCGGCAATTCTCGCTCACTCCGCTCCGCTGCACAGGACCCCTTCTAGGTTATGTTTAACTAACATTCATATCTTTGGAGATGCACATGATCGGGCTGAGATTAACCATGGTTCATCCCTTTGAGAATCGCTTCAAAGAAGCGCACGATCGTGAAGAGGCCGTCACAGAAGACATGCGTCCTCCTGAACTAATGAGGGGCCAAGGCTTTCGTTTTTTGTTTTCCTACCATTTTCCGATTCATGCCTGTGCTCATCCTTGTGCATGGGCCATGCTAATTTTCTCGAGATTGTTCCAATTTTGACCAATGTCCCAACGAACAACGAAGGACCAAGACTCGCTCACTCGAAAGAACTGCTTCGCTGGCAAACGCAACAAAAGGCTGATTTTCGCCCATTGATGCCATCACACGAATGACAATAAGAGAAAGTGGAGGGCCCAGACTTTCACAGACCTCATGTAAACAGTTAACTCCCGATGTGGTTGGAAGCATCGCTGCCTTCC